ACTACCGTGCTATGACCAAGCAGGGTAAAGGAATAGCATTATTACTTGATGTTAGGGAGACTCCTATATATGTCGACCTCCATCCCTAACGGACAGGCAGACCTGCAAAAATGCTCAACCCTTTCTCTTATCTGAGAGGGCACTCCCCAACGAAGCCTTTCGAAATATTCAGCTTTCTTTCCCCCCGATAATACCTCTGTAAACAAGCTATACTAGAGCAAGAATATCTCATATCATCAGGGTTAAAAGCAAGAGTATCCCATATCATGCTTTTTCCCTGTCTTTTCCTTTGGCCTTGTTCTTACCTGCAAGACAAGGAGAAAGAGAGCAATCAGTCAGCACTTGGAATCAAGCTTCCAGCCAGGAACTGACTGCCTGGAACCCCTTACCTGATTACTTACCTGGCATTGCTCTCGAGTACTCATCTTCAACATCTTATGCTTCCAGGGAAGATACCGCATCTGCCTGAGGAACAGATAGGGCAAGTGAGAAGGATACAAGGAAGCATGTGGAGAACAAGCGTAACAGCACACGTGCCGATACATCCACTACTCTGTCAAAAGCAAAAGTATCCCATATCAGCAGGGTCGAACGTACTCTAGATTTGATGGACTTGTTTTGACCCTCAAATTCTTCAGTCGGCCTTATACTCTGGAGGAAACCAGAAAACCCTCCAGCCCGGTTCAAGAATAAGCCTGTGGAAAGTTACTTCTTCAAAAGCAAAAGTATCCCATATCATCTCTTCTCATTTTTCTTCTCTTTATCCTTCATGCTGCCTCCAAGATAGGGAGAATGTGAACAATCAGCCGGAGCTCTGATTGCTTACCTTGTCTGTCACCTCCTTCAGCAGATCCCCTAGCCCGGCGACTTGGGGGACTCCTACTACATGGTTTGTATCGCGCTTGACCAAACCTGAAACTACAAGTAAGCTTCAAGTGAAATTGATACATTACCTTGTGCATCTCCACCAGTTACAGATACCACCCCTGGATGGAGGAAGAGTACTTCCAGAGAAGATGCCACATCTACCTATGAGACAGATAAGGCAAGTCAAGACGATACCACACTCTGGTACTTAGAAGTTTCGTGGTTACGAGATCATTCTCCCACAATATTTCCTAATGTCATTTGTACTAAATCATTCACTTGTACTCACTAAAGGAGAGCTTGAACCTATGTACTTGTGTAAACCCTTCACAATTAATGAGAACTCCTCTATTCCGTGGACGTAGCCAATCTGGGTGAACCACGTACATCTTGTGTTTGCTTTCCTATCTCTATCCATTTATATTCTTATCCACACTAATGACCGGAGCAATCTAGCGAAGATCACAAAAAGTGACCGTTTTCGCTACCTAGGATCTATCTTTGCAAGAGAACGGAGAATTAGATGGAGATCTCAACCATAGAATACAAGCTGGATGGATGAAGTGTAAGAGTGCATCCGGCGTGTTGTGTGACCGTCGTAGGCCACTGAGTATACAAGCTGGATGGATGAAGTGTAAGAGTGCATCCGGCGTGTTGTGTGACCGTCGTAGGCCACTGAAGCTCAAGGGAAAATTTTATAGGACGGCAATAAGGCCATCGATGTTGTATGGCACAGAATGTTTGGGCGGTGTTGAAGCATCAACACGTACACAAAAATGGGTGTAGCGGAGATGAGGATGCTTCGTGGGATGTATGGGCACACGAGAAAGGATAAGATTGGGAATGAGGATATCCGAGGTAAAGTAGGAGTAGCCAAAATTGAAGGAAATATGAGAGAAAATCGGTTCCGGTGGTTTGGACATGTGCAAAGAAGGCCTACTGACGCTCCGGTTCGAAAATGTGACTACGGGACAGAGGTTCAGGGCCGAAGGGGTAGAGGAAGACCTAGGAAAACTTTGGAAGAGACCCTAAGAAAAGACTTGAGTACTTGGATCTAACGGAGGACACAAAACCGAGCGCAATGGCGTTCTAGGATTCATATAGCCGACCCACTTAGTGGGAAAAGGCTTTGTTGTTGTTGTTGTTGTTGTTGTTGAATGAGGCTCTGAGCACTTACTATACGGTATGAGATTTTCAACTGTCTGACCTTTTTATTCATGCTATTCTGCAGACACATTCCAAGAACGTCAGAAGTTTCCTGTAGTTTCAAATTTGAGGATGCCCAGAAAAATATCTGCAGATGTAGATAACGGTGTTTTACATAATGACATCACAAATGAAAATGCGAGTGAAACCGATATATTTGGCACAGGGTTAAAGAATGAAGTTGGTGAATACAACTGCTTTCTGAATGTTATTATACAGGTCCGTTGATTCAGAGTTTTTATCAAATTTATGTTCTTAGTTCATTTGTCATTGTATATCATTTTTCCTGAGCATCTTATTGATATTGAAATGTTGCTTTTTTATTTTGTCAATACAGTCTTTATGGCATGTTAGACTGTTTCGAGATGAGTACCTACGGAGATCAACATCAGAGCATGGTCATGTGGGGGATCCTTGTGTTGTCTGTGCGTTGTATGAAATCTTTACTGCTTTGAGCAATGCGTCTGCAGATACTCGAAGAGAAGCAGTTGCCCCTACTTCTTTGAGAATAGCTTTAAGCAACCTGTATCCAGAAAGTAATTTCTTCCAGGAGGTATTTTCAGAGAATTTGATTGTAGCCCTTACCTCTTGTACAACTTCTACAATTATTCTGAAGTCATAATCAGCTCATATGTCAAGAATTTATCTTCATTTTTGGAAGTTGGTTCTAACATTATAGCAACTGTACAGGCTCAGATGAATGATGCTTCTGAAGTTTTGGTGGTGATATTTGATTGTCTTCACCGGTCGTTTACTCCTGGTTCTAGCCTTTCCAATGCTGAGTCAGTGGAAAGTAGTTGTCCGGGGTCTTGGGATTGTTCAAACAATGCTTGTATGGTGCATTCCATCTTTGGCATGGACATTTTCGAACGAATGAATTGCTACTATTGTGGTTTGGAGTCCAGACATCTCAAGTATACTTCCTTCTTCCATAACATAAATGCCAGTGCTCTCCGAACAATGAAGGTATCAGTTAAGAACTTTCATGATTGTTTTTTAGTTTTCAGCAATTTATTACTGTTTTTGGCATCGTTACAGATTATGCACATCTGTCTTTATCTTTCTTTGCTATTCAGGTTATGTGTACAGAAAGCTCCTATGATGAGCTTTTAAATCATGTGGAGATGAATCATCAGTTAGCCTGTGATCCTGAAGCTGGTGGCTGTGGGAAGCTCAACCATATCCATCACATTCTCACAACCCCACCACATGTTTTTACAACAGGTGACGTGAAGAGTTCTTGGGAGAATATTCATTGTTGACTTATGCTTCTAAAGATGGAAACTCGCTTAACATGAAAACTGATCCAACATTTTTGTTTCGTCATGCAGTTCTGGGCTGGCAGAAGACATGCGAGAGTGCTGATGACATAAAAGCAACATTGGCAGCTCTTAATACTGAGATAGATATCAGTGTCCTTTATCGTGGCCTGGATCCAAAGACCACGCACAACTTGGTTTCTGTGGTATGCATGTTTGGATAACCCTCAATTTTGTCATACGTATAGTAGCGTTCCATTTCCCAAAATGCAACCAGCGTCGTGTATTTTTCCTCCGGTTGTGAAATAACAAAGGCTTGCATTTCTTACCCATAAACTTAGGTTTCTCTGGCGTTTTTATTTTTTATTATTTGGAGTAGTGAAAGCTGTGATATATCCAATTTCTTTTGTTTAATTGAAAAATCTCTCCTATGTTATCTTTGCATAACTTTTGAATTTCAACAAGAATTTGTAGATACCGCTATTTCGTTTTATCTCATATCTACCATTTACTTTTAGGTTTGCTACTATGGACAACATTACCATTGCTTTGCCTATAGTCATGACCGTGGATGCTGGATTATGTACGATGATAAAACTGTCAAGGTAAAGTCGGTTATTCTAGTGTAAATCAGGCCTTGTTTCGCTCCTTTCTGCCTTTGTTATAATTCGTCTCTGATGTGTCTACAGGTGATTGGTGGCTGGGCTGATGTTCTTACCATGTGTGAAAGAGGGCATTTGCAACCACAGGTTCTTTTCTTTGAAGCTGTAAACTAGGCATTTTTTTTCTGGAACTCATTACGTTTTTAGACTTTGCAAGAGGCGTTGGTGTTGTAACATCCGTTCGTCATCTACTGTAAGAAGTTGTTCATAGAAAATGCATTCCATCCTTCTGGTTAGACGGTAAAGTATACAGCGCCAATTTCAGAAGACGAAAAAGGATAGAAATGTTCCGGTTGAAGTCCAGAGTTCCGATGATATATAATCGACAGTTTTGTGATCTAATCAAGAATTTTTGTGGGAGCAACTGGTCCTCGAGGAAGAACAGTTTCACCATTGAGGAGCCGAAAAGTCTAAGCTTGTGGTACGTTCACTGTCCCTGCAACTGTCCTTTTAAGGTTGGACTCTCGACGAAGAAGGTAGTAACAACGACTACCGGCTGTCTGTGCGTGTCGATAAATGGCATTGATTGCCGGTTGTTTCTCGAGAGCATGTAACAGTTGTAACGGGGGAAGATAGGTTATAGAAAATCAAGGTCTTTTGCTTGGACGTTTTCTAAAATTTCCCCCAAATTTTGAAAAGGTTGTTGTATAGATGACATTATGATGGCCCTTCCCCTTTTGGGGTCTTTGGAACTGCGGATTACAGTAAATTTGTTGCTTCATCTTGGTACCACAATTAGGTTAAAAATGAAGATCTATTGCCCCTTCTCCTCTCCGTAATTTCGGTTTACGAGAATTGCTATTTATTCTCACTTGTAAGGGAGGTTTAAGTTGTTACTCTTATAAATAGCGAGTTCGCTACCATATTATTGCTGCCTCTATGAGGAATTAACGCTATCCCCAAAGTAACTTTTATTTGTTGAGCGATTGCGCTTCTACTCGACATTGTTAGATCATTAAGGTCGACTTTTTCGTCGTGGTCTGGATCTGGAACAGTGGATACATTGTATCTTTGAATCTTACAAAACCAAATGATGCCCTAATTTCAATATGAGACTTCTAACTACCAGAGTTCGATTTACTTCAATGTATTTAGAAACTAGAAAATTTGGAAATGCCACGTCATTCTGGGAGGGGTCAGTGTGAAGTGGCTACGACCATTAAAAAACACAAAAAAAACAAAAAAAGAAGTGCCCCTAACGTTTAGGACCTTTTCTGTTACCAAATTCCAACATTTGTCCCCAACGGTCTTACACGATCCCCGCCTTTTTCGCTTCCCCTCTTCAATCTTTTCTTTTACTCAGTCTCTCCCTGCTTCCAGTAAATCCGCACATTTCCAGACCTTTTCAGATCCAAAAAAATGCTCTCCATTCCACCACCTCCATTCCTCCTCCCCCTCCTCCTCCTCCTCCAACTCACCGCCACTCTCCTCCTCCTCCTCTTCAATTTCAAACACTGCACCACCCTCCTCTCCAATTGCTTTCGAGGTTTTTCGCGTTCCCGGCTCTCGGATTGGTTCCGATTGCGTTTTGGGATACGCAAAATGCCCCTTAAGGGCGCCACCCTCCAGGCCTGCGCCGCGTGCAAATACCAGCGAAGGAAGTGCACGGCGGAGTGCCCCTTGGCGCCCTATTTCCCGGCGGACCAACCCAAGATGTACCAAAACGCACATAAGCTATTCGGAGTCTGCAACATTTTGAAAATACTTAAAAATCTCAACCCTCGCCAGAAGGTGGAGGCCATGAGGTCCATAATATACCAAGCTAACTTGCGCGACAAGTTTCCGGTTTACGGGTGCTGGGAGGTGATCAGGCAGCTCCAGTACCAAATCCTGGTGGCGGAGGAAGAGCTCCAAGCTGTCCACCAACAGCTGGCAATGTACAGACAGCACCGCCACCACCAGATTTCGTCCATGCCGGAATATGTGACGTCACAGTTGGAGCTAGGGATGGCTCCGCCCAATAACCCCCTCGCACTTTTCGACTACAATCTTCCCCCTTATATTCTCACTAATACCAACAATGCCACCGCAGTGGCTCTTGTAAATCAACACCAACAGCAATCTTACTCTAGCAGCAGTGATGCTGCTTACAGCTCTGCTGCTTATAACAGTGACTCCAAAGACAACGTCAACAACAGCAACAACAATGCTGGAAATCCGTTGTGGAGTTCAAATCCTTTTATGACTAACAACAGCAACAACAACAACAATAATAACTCCGAGGCGATTGAATCTGAACTCGGAGCTCTTCAGCAGCTCTCTATCCAACCTGACGTTGTTCAAGATTACGATGAGTTGCATCCGTTTTTTGACACCACCGATGATAGACAGTCATACATTGATTCCAAAGAGGCTTATGATTCAAGGTACATTTTTTTATTATCACTTTGCATATGTATTCGTTCAAACCTTTATCTCTAAAAGTCCGAGCGACACAGGGCTGAATCTATTTGGTGCATACATAATTGTAATTCACTAAAAGATGAGAATTCACTTGCAGCTCGGAAGAATCGTTCAAGGACACGACACAATCGATGGAGCATGCAGAGAATGCATTGAAGAATGATGCAGCATGCTTTAGTCTTACCAGTGTCAACTGATGATCAGTGAAAAGTAGTGTGGTTCGTCTTCTTCTTTTGTGCATTGATTTCTTTCTATTATGAATTTGATTATTCATACGGGAAACCAACAATTTTGTTTGCTTCTTTTTTTGGTTAATAAAACTCCACATACTGAGCTCCTTGTTTCTTTTAGCTTCAATGTTCTACACCTGAGTTTATAATCGACTGTTTGTTTAATCGAATAATATTTCACGTAGTTTTTCGACTTTTGTGAGCTGTAGAATACATATAAAATAGCTTTGAAACAATCATGGTACCGATTGGAATTGAGTCATAGAAGCCTGGTGTTGTATGAACCGCAAGAGGGGCACTTGTGGTAAAGCCAGTGAAAGGGAGCAGTTCCTCTCTTCTCACAGTCATTGCAGAGTATGACCTGCAATTTGTTTAGCAGGTCAATGAACATCTAGGTTTGGATGTGTTAGAAGCTACTTAGTATGACAAGAAAAATAGGATGACAAACCTGAGTTTGGCCGGCGTACTCGTCTAGGGTTTCCTGTTTAGCCAAAAAATGCATCCAACATTTGAAGGTACACCTGCAAGACAATCGTATGGCTCGAGAGGCACAACACATCACACAACTCAGTTGGATAGAATTCAAAGCTTCAGCTCGAGAGTTCAAAGTTTCTTCTAATCATATAGAACAATCATGACGATTCACGCGAATTCTTACCTCTTCCTCCACATAATTCTGTAAATCAGTGTTTTTGTTTCCTAAGTTTATATTTTTCTGAATAGAGCGTTTGGACGAGGGACTTTAAAGTTCCAGGGAACCTAGGCTACATTTGTAGGAATGCACCACAAAAATTAAATAGGAGGGGGACGTGAAATGACTAGATGCAAATGCAATACGTTTAAAGATACTTTGAAATGTGTCATTTGAAAGTCCCCAGTTTAGCGTCTTTGTAGTGCATTAGTAGTGTATTAGTAGTTGTTTTATAGTGCTTAAGTAGTTCATCGGTAGTGTTCTTGACATCTTGTAGTGCGTGTTTAACAATTGAGTCTAAAATTCCTTGGTACTTTGAAGTCCCTCATCCATCATAGGATGCAGGAACATATTCTACATTTTCAGCTCACCTCTTCAATCCCAACAATTTCAAGTAACGAAACTCCAAGGATTGGGCAGGTATAATTCGTAAAGGTGTAGGCATAGAAGTAGGAACAGAAGTACCAGCAAAGAAGTCTGAATATTTACAAAAGCTTTCGGGATAAAAGCAAGAAATTATGAAGGGGAAATACCTCAAAACATATTGAGTGCATCAAATGACCGCAAGGAAAGGAGAAATTTTTCATTGTGACCGGAACACGAGGGGTACACCACGTGTTTTTATATAAGTAGTGGGAAATTTTACTTTTTAAGTTATTAACTTTTTAACACACGTATCCCACCATTTGTATAGTGACACGTGATGTACCATCCTGTGTACTGGTAACACTGAAAAATCTCTCGACGGAAAGGACTTTGTTGGAGAGTTGGGGGTGAAGATGTCTTCGTTGCAAATAGGGCAGTTATCAATGAGGCATTTCCCTCTCCATGTGTGCTTCAAAAGGATGAACCGTGAACGGATAGTCACAATTAGCACCGAGCATGTCAGAGACCTTTGTCATTTTCGTGTTAACATATGTTGAAGTCGACAGGGTTTCTAATCAAATAAACACGAATACCACAAAATCAAAATCTCCTTCATCAATGGATGATACGTAGGAATTCTTTTGTTTGTTTATACAAATTATATTTTATAAAAGAATTCATTTAAACTATGGGGATGAAGATTTGAAGCCTGAGTAGACAGAAGAGCATGTAGAATTATCATAGAGACGGGTCAATGTTCCACTTTCAACAAAACCGATATTATCCCAAATTTTTTAATTACCACCTGCACAATTCGACACGTATAAAATTTTCTCACAAAATACCTTGATATTAGAGTTACGATATTTAAACTCCTCTTTTTTCTCACAAATATGTGGATGTGAAATATTTCAATAGAGCACATCCCCTTAGACAAGTGCTTGAGTAGTTTAATTAAGGAGGAAGAAAAACTTTATTACAGTGGATCCCTTTTGTCAAGTTTTGGGTCATAGTCAGCCCAAATCCGTGTTGGGACATGATTATTTGACGCAATATTGTCCCATGTTCTTAGATGTATTCGGGCCCCGTAATCTTAGTATTATTCTTATTTATTTTTATTTTTATTTTTGAGAAAAACGGTAATGGTTTTATTCATAATATTAGGAAAGCATATAATTCTCAAGGAGGACGTCTTGAATTAACTTTGGGGCTTTTCAAACCAACAATTAGCAAAATTGGAAAATAAGACCAACTTGACCATTCTATGCGCTGCTACATTGACGGATCTACAAATATGACACAGACTAGTTTAATAGCATCAATCAACAAACCAATAGCGGATGCAAACTTCCGACAGCTTTGACCACCTGTAGTGCATCACATCCAAAATAATTTGCTGCCAACTTCGTTGCAAAGCCAAACCGACACCATCTCGTGCAACTAGAACCTCAACTGTCTTAGGATTAGTCACGTGAGATATTTTACGAGCAAAATCTTCAGCATAGCTACCTACTTTGTTGCGAAATATCACGCGGACACCGCCAGAATTTATAGTAGCACAGAAAGCACCGTCAACGACTTGATCCAACACGATGAACGAGGAAGCCAACGAGAGGGGGACGGAAGTAAGGCCTGCAAGTTGACTCACAAGTGTTGAGTTCTCCACCTTGTCGTCCCACAGAAGAGAATTCCTACCTCGCCATATTGTTAATAAGCATCAAGAGAGAATCGAACTAACCAGATGAGTGAGCAGCAACACATTGATTAATTACTGGTTTGGTACTGAGGTGCTTTTATAAAAAAGTGAGTATCAAAAAAGCTGAGCTCAAAAAGATGTTTGGTAAACACTTAAAAACAGCTTATTTTCACAGTTTTGGGTGAAAAACATCTGAAAACGTGAAGCAGAAAAAATGAGCGTATTCTCATAGCACATCAAAAGCAGTTTTTTTTTTTTTTCAAAGCATATCAATACCAAACCAGCGTTAAGGCAATCACGAAACGAAGAAGTTATTACAACATCTCTAGTACCAGTTTCGATATTGGAGGAGAAAAATACAACATGTACAAATGGACAAGCACTAAACACATATTTTTCTTCATTTTATGTGTGAATGTGCGGTTTTAAGCTCGGCTTAATTGGATGCAAATTCGATACTTAATTACAATGACTAGGTTAGTCTGGGAGAAACATATAACTGATGTTTTTTGTAGAAAGCACTTCAAGTACTTTTGGAACCCAAAAATATTTTCTAAAAACGCTTTCAGTCATTTTAAAAGTACATCCGAACAAGCCTATGTTTTTTTGTTAAAACAAAAAACAAATAGAGAAATTCTTAGGGCCGTCACCCACAAGCGAGCGGGCTAGTTGCATGAAGTTGACCACTCGAACATGGACGGCAGATTGATGCATGGTTTAGGTACCAGCAGGCCAACATCATTATTAAAGTGGTTACTATTGTTAGGGCTTAATCATTGGGAAGGTGTCGTATGACTTACAACATGTAATCTAGCGTACAATATCAAGCATGATTGTAGCTCCTTTTACATTCCAATCCAATCCATCGTAGATTTATAAAAATGGGAACTTTAACGAAAAGCACCCGGTACTGTTCACTTTAACGAAAAACCACATTTTTACACTAAAAAGTCAATCCTGGTACTATTCACTTTACCCTTTATTTTGTCCTTATCATTAAAACTCAAAGTTTTCAAGCCATTTTCATTAGTTTTCCTTACATGACTATTGCCGTTTGACAAATAAATCCAAGGTATTTCAAAGAAGGCTATAAAGGTTCTGCCGTTTTAGAGAAGGCTATTTTTTTGCTATGCTCCTAAAACTCAAGTTTAATCTTACTTTTATTTTCATAAAGTGTATTTGCGTCACTTTGTCTCTGAAATTTGATTTTCGTCTTATTTCGTCACATTCCGTCAATTTCGTTAAAAAAACTGTTAAGTTTGTGACATGACATTAGGGAAGCCCACTTACATGCTAACATGTGTTTGCCACATCAACTTAAAAAGAGATTTAATATTTGGAAAATGTAAAAACCATTAAAAAAATTAAAAATTTCATGAACAAAATAACGCAAATTTCGTTTCAGAGAATAAACTAAATTGAACTAGAGTTTCAAGGGGCATAACCAAAAATATGCCTTAGAGAATCAGTGACACGTGGTCTGCTGCTTACTTGGCATAATTGGAGGATCATTTTTAATTTGTGGAAAAAGATAAATGAAATTAATTAATCAATATGGTAATTTCATGTGATGAGTTGAAGCTAAGGCAATCATACTTCATACTTGTCCCTACAAGAGAAGGAATCTTAGCTCCCATTTTTGGTGCGCAATATTAGACAAAACGACACAAAGAAATGAATTATGCAAACGTAAACCTACCAAAAGATGCTTAATCATTTGGGTAACGTTATAACATTACACGTTTTTCCTTCAGAAAAACAAAAAAGAACGAAAGAATAAATAGTGATTGTGATGCATTAGTTTTCATCCTAGTGGTTGTCAATGAAACTCATGCATTAAAAAAAATTATAGGTATTTGACTCCATCTTTGTTTGCCGTAAAAAAGACAGATAGAAAGTAAGGAGTCAAATGACTTAGCTGATTCGTCAATTATGACATCTCTCTTGGAGAAAACATTGATGTTTTTAGTCCTGGTTGACCTATTTGGCATTTCTTTAGAGATGTTCTTAGAATATATAATTTGTATGGTTGAATGTTGATAGTTTCCGATCTTATCATTCTAATACTAGTGCATCATATACACAATCAACGGATTTTATAAAACCCCGTCAAACTCATCACAAATAATAATTTTCTAGCCATTTATCTGAGTCGAACTCAAAATCTCAAATTATTATCCAACAGTAAAGGATAGAAAAGATTAGGATGAACCTTTATTGCGGTTGATAAGAAAATCAACAGAGTTGGGCAAAATCCGAAAAACAGGCTGTGACAAAATGTGTGGTGGTAATCTTGAAATTTTGATGTTTGTTCCGCACCAAAATCGGAAAATCATTATCCACAAACCCAATAAATTGGGAACCCAA